GTCCTGTTTAAAACACATAGCGCTAAGAGGGGGAGCAAACATATGCCATATACGCCAGGTCCCTTGAAACATAAGCTGTGCAGATGTTTCTTCCTTGCAGCAACTGTGTCAAGCAGCAAGGGTGGACTGGCTTCCTGCACAATACATTGTTTTGGTTGAATATTAAGGAGATAACCTAGCCTCAGCCATCCCATACTTGAAAAAGAGGAGCATCTTAATACTTGTTTTCAGATAATTGTGGCTATTCTTTGATGCAACACCAAAACTCAACAAGTAGTTTCTTAAAGATTAATTACAATGTGATATCTGAAATCCTATTAGTGAGCTTTTTATACTGTTACATTAAAATTCATTGGTCTGTCTTGCACTTTGGGTTTTTCCCCATGCATGATTTTGTAACATCAAGTGTTGACTATTTGGAAACACATGGTCAACCAAATTTGGAGCTTTGAGATGGCACATTTCACTAAATACTTGAAAAATCACATTTATTAATTTCATTAGGAAAGTGTTAAAGTGAAACTTAAGCAGATTTTGAAAATTTTTTTGCTTGAAACCTCAAATTTTGTCATGGCAACTAATACTGTCAATTGCTATCCTTGAAGTGACAGGCTTGATTTGTTCATTTTTTGAGAAAATGCCTGCCAAACACACAGTCTGAATTATTGTTTGTCAGTTTTCTTCAAGTAAAAATGATGTTCCAACTCCTCACTCATTAAGTGTGGGTTATGCATCAGTAGCTTCCCAAAGAATACAGTTTAGAAGCAGAGAAAAACATGTAACTTTAAGAGAAACCTGACATCTAGTGCCAGGTGACCAAGTTCAACATCAACAGCAATAAGTCATGTTGATAGTATGGACTCTGAATATGATGTGATGAGAATGGCACTTTACATCTGGTCTTAAAACCGATCCCTCCACTCTACTGAGAAAAACATCAGACATCCCAATTGAAGAAAAAGCTACAAAATACCTGACCAATCCTCAAAACTCAGACTCATCAAAAACATGGAAGTGAGTCCTAGCCAGTCTGGCTCAATGGTTAGAATGTCTGCCCACCCACCAAAGGGTCTCAGGTTCGATTCCCAGTCAAGAGCATGTACCTGAGTTGCAGGTTCCATCCTGGCCCCAGTCAGGGGGAGTTCAAGAGGTAACCAATCGATACATCTCACATTGATGTCTCTCCCCCACCTCCACCTCCTTCCCTCCCACTCTCTTAAAAAAAAAATCAATGGAAAGATTATCCTTGGGTGAGGATTAACAAAAGAACAAAAGTCAGGGAAGTGAGAAAACTGTCAGAGCCAAGAGCCTAAGGAGATGTGGCAACTAAATCATGTGGGATCATGGGACAGAAAAAGGACGGAAAACCAGGAATCTGAATTAAGTGTGGATTTTGCTTAATAAAAATGTATCAAGATTGGTTCATTAGTTGTAAGAAGAGTATTATATGCATGGAAGATGTAATAGGGGGAAACTGGGTATGGGAGAAGGTGCTGCTTTAGCTGTGTGCTGAAGTGTGCATAGGAGTTAGACAAGAATGGAGGAAGGCGCTCTCCCGGCAGAAGCAGCAGCTCATGTCAAGATCTAGGGTAGGAATGAAATGTTTGAGGTCAGAAGGAAGGCAAATGGGGTTGGAGTGAACAAAGGGAGAATGGCAAGATGTTAGGGCAGCCGGCAAAGGCCAAAAGATAGAGGGTCTTGTGTTTGATGGCATCTGAGGTGGATCAGCATTGACTTGGGGTTCAGGTCTATCTGGGAATGAATTTCAGCCAAGCCATTTACTGCCTTTTGGTTGGGTTACTTAACTTCTCTGGGTGTCAGTTTCCCTGACTGTAGAAAGGGAGAAATTTTAATATATTTTACCTCGGTTTGCTGATTGGGACATACTAAGGCTCAGTAAATGCTAGTATCTTGAGACAAACAGGAGTCACAGAAGGATCCTCAAGCATTTGGAATGTGGGTAATATTTTACTGCCACTCACGGACTAAAGCAGCCCCGGAGTCCACCTCAGGAGCTGCCATTGCCGGAACTAGGCCTTGGATTCGCGTATCTTGTGCCCAAGAAAGGCCGGAAAAGGGATGCAGGACTTCAGCATCCCGCCTCCCAGCTTCAGAACCCCCGTCAGAGGAGAGCATAAATTTGATCGGCGTTCATTACGGCCAATCAGCTGCATGAAGGCAAGCCTGTAGGCCAATGGCGAGGTGGCATCCGGGTGTGGATAGCCGGACGCCAGAGGGCCTCGGCCGGGAAAGCAGCAGAGGGCGGGGCGTCACGAGTGGCGGGCGCGCTGACCAATGGGCGGTGGATTCCTCTCCCCAGGGCCGGGCACTGGCAGACGCGGTGACGTCAGCGCGGGTCAGCGCGTTACAAGGATAAGCGCGGCGAAGGGACCGGCGGGGCGCGGAGCTGTGGGAGGTGAAGAGCGGATTCTGTTCGCGGTCTGCGGGTATGGAGAACACTTTGGGGAGGTCTGGGTGCGGCTTTTGGAGAGCGGAAAAGGGCCTGGGCATGGGCCTGCGAGGGGCGTGGCGGCCTCGGGGTAGCTTGATGCGGTCTGCGGGTATGGAGAACACTGAGGGGTTGGGGGGGGAGGTCTGGGTGCGGCGTTTGGAGAGCGGAAAAGGGTCTGGGCCCGGGCCTGCGAGGGGCGTGGCGGCCTCGGGGTAGCTTGAGCAGAGACATGACGGGTTGGGACCCCTGGAGCTATCTATGAAGGGGGCTATCAGCGTCTGCCTTGGAGCTTATGCGTTGGTTGGGGGCGAAGGACAATGGAGAAGACAGATTGACCCTTTGCGGGTCCCGTTTGGGGTGAAGGAGACAGGGGTGGAGGCCTTTAATACCAGGAGGAGTGCCTTTGAGGAGAGGGAGGAGGTTAGTCTTGCTAGGACGGTGAAAGTCAGGGGCAGGCAAGGATGGGTCGGAGGCTTGCAAGAGCTCGGAAGTCATTGCCCATTTCCTGGGGAATTCAAGACTTGGGGAGCACACCGCTGAGGAGGGTCTAAGAGAAAAGCTGAGGTGTGGGGGGAATGGGTAAGGACGAAGAGGAGTTGGGGTTGCTGATGGGCAGGAAGGATGGGAGCATGTTGAGGCTAGAACTAGGAAGTTGGGCAGGGAGTGAGGGAGGGCAGGGTTTGGGGCTGTGGCGTATGTGGGGGAACGTTTAGGAATGTGTGGGGCTCTGGGAGAAGCCTAGGAGTGTGAGGCAGAGAAAGGCTAGGGCAGTGTGTAAGGAGGTATATATATGGCTGGTGGGAGTGATGGGAGCAAGGTGGCACAGGGGGGCTCACGGACTCGGCGACCTTTTGGGTTGTTTGGTGTCAAAATGAGATGACACATGCAAGTGCCCTTCCCAGAAACCCTGCAACTTCAGCGTGGAGTGATGTGAAACCTATGGTTGGTGAGCAGGTTGCTCTGTTTGCCAGGAATAATGGCTAGCATCTCACTCTTTATTCCCTGTTGCCCTGTCTCCTCCAGGGTCACTGGTAGGAGACTTCCCGAGGTCCTGTCCGCAGGCTTCAGTGACCGGGCTTTCACTGGAGCGGAAGCTGCTGGAAGGCAGACCGGCTACCATGTCCACATTCAGGCAGGAAGATGTGGAAGACCATTATGAGATGGGGGAGGAGCTGGGCAGGTGAGCAGGCCCCTCTGACAAGGCTCCGGGTAGGAGAAAGGCACTTCGGGGTTTTCTGGACAGTATGTCCCCTTATGTCCTGTATCCTACTCTCCAAGAAGCGAGTCAAGTTCATGTGCCGGTGGAATGAGTTTGGGCTCTGGAATCAGACATCCTGGCTGAGAGTCCTTGCTCTCACATCCTTTGTGCATTTCCTTTGGGAAGAAACATAATTGAGTACCTATGGCACCTAACACAATGGCTGGCATATGTAGGTATTAGCAGGTTCAGTTGGTAGAGGTCTGTCCCTCTCTTGAATCCTCTCTTATGGGGAGCACTTGAGTCTCCCAGCTCTTGGCATTTCCAGGGAAGGCCTCCTGCCTGGGCCCAGTCTCCTGCCAATTGTGTAGCATTCTTATGGGAGAGAGAGGAGGTTTCCCTTGCCAGCCTGGCAGCTGATTTCCTGCCTGGCTGGGCCTTGGAGCGTCCCTTGGGATCTTGCTCCCCCACTTGCCCCAGACCAGCCAGGCACCACCCCCCAGAAGGGAATGTAAATAACTGAGCCGAGCCCTGCATCAGGCCTTTGCAGGCTCCTTTGGGATTCTGAAGTCTCTCCTTTAGGAATTTCCTCTGTTTTGAGTGGTAGCCAATGAAGTCTCTCCCTCCCCTGCCTCCCAATCTCAAACTTTATTGTTGAAAATGTATGAGGAGCCCTAACTGGTTTGGCTCAGTGGATAGAGCGTCAGCCTGTGGACTGAAGGGTCCCGGGGTCGATTCTAGTCAAGGGCATGTACCTTGGTTGCAGGCACATCCCCAGTAGGGGGTGGGCAGGAGGCAGCTGATTGATGTTTCTTTCCCATCGATGTTTCTAATTCTCTATCCCTCTCCCTTCCTCTCTGTAAAAAATCAATAAAATATATTTTAAAAAAGAGAAAATGTATGAGGATCTCCTGCTGAGGGTAGTTTGGCAAAAATCAGCAAAATGTCATAGGTATACTCCCTTTAACTCACTGATTCTGCTGAATTAATTCAGTGGGAATATATATATACATGGCCTAATGACCTAGAAACAGGAATAGTTGCTATAAAGATTTTAATTTTAATTTTATTTTTTAATTTATTTTTAAAATATATTTCTTTATTGATTTCAGAGAGAAAGGGAGAAGGAGAGAGAGATAGAAACATCAATGATGAGAGAGAATCATTGATCAGCTGCCTCCTGCACACCCCACACTGGGGATTGAGCCCGAAACCCAGGCATGTGCCCTTGGCTGGAATTGAACCTGGGACCCTTCAGTCCACAGGCTGACGCTCTATCCACTGAACCAAGCCGGCTAGGGCAACTATAAAGATTTTATATGAGCAAAAGATGGGAAGCCTCTTCAGTGGCCATCACAGCACCTTGCATCGGTGGGTGGAATATTGTGCAGCCATTAAAAGAGCCAGGCAGCCCTGGTTAGCGTGGCTCAGTTGGTTGGAGCATCATCCCGTACACCAAAAGGTCTCGCAATCACTTCCTAGTCAGGGCACATACCTAGGTTTCAGGTTCATTCCTTGGCATCGGTTGGGGTGTGTGTAGGAGGCAAATGATTGATTTTTCTTTCTCACATTGATGTCTCTCCCCGCCCCCATTCCCCTCTCTCTAGAAGTCAATGAAAAACCAACAAAAGAGCTAGGCAACTTGTATAATATGAGCCACATAGGAAATTTATTGCAATTTAATCAAAAATTTTAAAGCTGTGCCAATTTTAATAATTTTATGCCCTAGCCTGTTTGGTTCAGTGGATAGAGTATCGGCCTGCGGACTGAAGGGTCCCAGTCCGATTCCAGCCAAGGGCACATGCCCGGGTTGTGGGCTCGATCCCCAGTAGGGGGCGTGCAGGAGGCAGCCAATCAATGATTCTCTGTCATCATTGATGTTTCTATCTCTCTCCCTTTCCCTTCCTCTCTGAAATCAATAAAGAAATATATTAAAAATTTTTTAAAAATAATTTTAACAACATACTTTATTTAACCTGGTTGATCAGACTATTATCATTTTGCTTGTAATTGCTATAAAATTATTAGTGAAAAATTTTATCACTTTAAAAAAATAAATATTTTTATTGATTTCAGAGAGGAAGGGAGAGGGAGGGAGATAGAAACATCAGTGATGAGATGTGCCCTGACTGGGAATTGAACCGTGACCTCCTGATTCATAGGATGACACTCAAGCACTGAGCAACACCAGCTGGGCTCCCCCTTTTTTTTTTTTATATGAAGCCTTTGAAATCTAGTGTGTATTGTGTGATCACAGCACATTTCAATTTGGATGGGCCTGATAGCTGCTGTGGCCAGTGGCTGCTACCTTGGACAGCACCACTCTATGTAATGGTCCAGAACATTATCAGAGATAAATGAAGGATTAATGACACATATCACTGCATACCATGTTGCAACTTGTATAAATTGTAGATGTCCTTTGGACATCTGAGTTCTATTTTTTTTTAATTGATTTCAGAAAGGAAGGGAGAGGGCGAGAGAGATAGAAACATCAGTGATGAGAGAGAATCATTGACTGGCTGCCTCCTGCCTGCTCCCTACTGGGGATTGAGCCTGCAACTCAGGCATGTGCCCTTGACCGGAATCGAACCCGGAACCCTTCAGTCCACTGGCCAAATCGCTATCCACTGAGCCAAACCAGCTAGGGCAGAGTTCTATCTTTATGTTATTTCCATTCATCTACTAAAGGACCGAAGAATCAGGTGCCATTATTCCTATTTTATTTTTTTTAATATTTTTTAATTGATTTCAGAGAGGAAGGGAGAGGGAGAAAGAAACATCAATAATGAGAGAGACTCATTGATTGGCTGCCTCCTTCACTCCCCCTTTGGGGGATTGAGCCTGCAACCTGGGCATGTGCCCTTGACTGGAATTGAACCTGGGACCCTTCAGTCTGCAGGCCGATGCTCTATCCACCGAGTGAAACCAGCGAGGGCCATTATTCCTATTTTAGATAAACTGGGACTGAGAGAAGGGAAGCAGCTTGCCCTAGGCCACACAGACTGTAAATGGCCAAGTAGGATTCAGATCTTGAGACCAAGCCTCGCTGGCTCCAAAGCCGCTAGGTGTGCTGGAACCAGAGATGGGCATCTGGCTTCCACCTACTCATTAGCCAGCTCCACCCCCATGTCCTGGTAATGGACCCATTAGATGCCGAAATGAAGATAAGCCCCTGTGGGTTGGGAAATGAGTGTGTCCTTATGCCCCAAACACCATCCTCCTTCACATGTTCACTTTCTGCCTCTGAAGTTGGCCACCATGATACGCTGTCTCAGAGGTGGGAATTATACTGGAATTCATGTTGGAGTAGATGTAGGTCTTTCCCTAGTCTAGTTATTTACTGTCTTTGGGGAATTAGCTGCAGGAATCACTGTGGTGAGAGGGATTACAAGTAAAGCAATCCCACATTTTCCTGTCCCAGGAGTCATGGGGCTGAATTAACTGGGAGCTTGT